GGCCCACGGGCCCGCTCGCGTGCGCGGTGGATGCGGCGGTGGCGGCGGCGATGGACGCCCTAGAGGAAGAGAGCTTCGCGCTGTCCTTGTGAGTGACGCCGCCAGAGCCCGGGCGGCTGGAGGCCGGAGGCAACCGGCGCTCGCCTGGTCCTGGGCCCTGTAAAGCGGGTGTCCCCGGAGGGTGGGGGTGGGGGTGGGAGGCGGCCAAGGCTCCGCCCCACTTCCTGGTCTCCATCCCATGGCTGCTGCGGCCGCCAGGCGGCCAGGTTCAGGCCCGGGAGGACAGGACGGAGAGGCGGGTGGCACCCGTTGATCAACGCCGTAATAACTTCGTATAGCATACATTATACGAAGTTATCAAGGCTCCGCCCCACTTCCTGGTCTCCATCCCATGGCTGCTGCGGCCGCCAGGCGGCCAGGTTCAGGCCCGGGAGGACAGGACGGAGAGGCGGGTGGCACCCGTTGATCAACGCCTCCATCACAGTCCCCAGCCGCCGACCCTTAGCCAGCAACAAAGGTGTGTTTGAGCTGTTGCCGAGGCCTGACCGTGGGTCAGAGGACTCTCCACCACCACCATCACCATCACCGGGGACTCCTGATCAAATGACCCTCCTGGCCAATATTTTGCCCGCCCCAGGTTCACGCTCACAAACAGATAGGTGTGGGGTGATAGCGGAGATGTGGTGAGTAGACCATGAAGGAAATAAATGCGGAGGATCCTAGAGATGTCCGATGCCATCCTTTGCTCCCTTTATTTGTCCTTTTTGTGACTTACGGTGTCATATCAGGTTTTGTGAAAGTGGAGCCATCACATTCAACTTTCATGTCACAGATATGTCAAGTGTATCTTCTGTTTGGAATTGCTAGATTAGACATTAATCAATCATTCTTAATGGCTGAAGCTGAGTGATGGGAATTTCATTTTCCTAGTTTTTTTTTTTTTTTTTATTGTGCGTGTTTGAAAATGTACATAGTAAAAAAAATTTTTAATGGAATTATTTGAAACAGCGCCTAATCTAGGCATATTTTTCAGCTCCTCTGCCTCTGATGCGGAATTTGATGCTGTGGTTGGATATTTGGAGGACATCATCATGGGTAAGCTTTTAAGGACTTGCTTGCTTTTAAGGACGTTGAAATCAGTGTGAAGAGTTAATTTTAAAAAGAAAACGTTAAGCTGCATGTATTTTTAACATAGCACAATGTAATGTTAAATTAGCCTTACTGTGATTTGTCTTAGAAACAAACATCCCAGCACTCCTTGAAACAACTACTAACCATAGATTCAGGGGCCTGCAAGGGACTTATTCAGGTAATGTGGAACCTAGAAGTATGGAGCTCATGGCAAAGCTTCAGGAAATAATGACCTACTTTATTTCACATATAGGATAAGAGCAGTTTCTTTTTTTTAGATAATTTTGAGTTTTAACATTTTTATGCCATAAAACAGCATAAAATCATAACCATAAGCATACATGTCCATGAAGAAAACAAGGTGTCAAACTTCAGCTGGTTCTATATTTGAGAAAATTCTCTCTATTGACTCTAAGTTTAATGAGAAGTAGAAAAAGAGCACTTATTTGGTGTTATTGGCTGTGTAACTTAGTCCGGTTTAGTCTGAAAATCACTGACCAAGCTTTTGTACCTTCAGGTCCTATAAAGGATGTTTCACCATTAAGCTCTTATCCCATGTGGATTTGAGGATTTCTGGGGAATGCTGAGGAAACTGTTCAGTTCTTTTGCCTGTTATTGGTACCCTATATGCTGTGGAGAAAATGAGCCTTCTATAAGTCCAGGGTATTTATCCCGAAGTCTGGGTCCTTTTTGAAGCTTTGCTTTTATTTTTAGGAATATTCTATTCAGTTGTTTAAATTCCCTATTTCCTGGCATTTATTAAGTTTTCACTATGAACTAATCTGCTTACGTGAATTCTCATCTAAATTCCACCTAGCATTCCTATATATGTACTATAAATCATCCTCACTTACCAGATGAAGGAGTAGGAGTTTAAGGAAATAGAGTAACTTATCCAAGGCCACACAGCTAGTAAATGGTTGAGATGGGATTTGAACCCAGCAGCCTGGCTTCTCTCAGACCCCATACTTCTAATCACTATACTGTTTCCACAACTGCTGCTGAAATTATATTAAAATAAGAGAGAACCAATTTGTTCCTTTACGGAAAGTACTATGGGAGTTCCCAAGCCACCTTATGGATGTTTAAAATGGACTGGCAGATGGTAGTGATGGTTGCACAACAATGTGAATGTACTTAAAGCCACTGAATGATATATTTAAAAATGGTTAAAATAGTAAATTTTATATATTTTTAAAATTATATTTATGTGTGTATTTTACCACAATTAAAAAATAAAATTTTAAGAGTGGATTGGTCTATTTCAACATTGGTGTCCCATCCAGTGCTCCCTTAAAACACCAGTTTTCCTTCTCCTAGGGTTTGGCCATTGAGAAAGTACTACTGACATAAATCCTGCCTGCTTATGCATATGAGAATGGTTTGTAGTCTCCATTAAAAATAATAAATTTTCCCTATTGTGGTTCAGATGACGAGTTCCAGTTATTACAGAGAAATTTCATGGACAAGTACTACCAAGAGTTTGAAGACACGGAAGAGAATAAACTCACCTACACACCTATTTTTAACGAATACGTAAGTAGAGTTCAATTTCTGCTACCAGGAGATTATGGTTTCTTTGAAATTTGAATTTAGAATCCAAAGATGTTGAAATTTGCTCATCTTTTAAAGTATGCCACAACCATACTGGCCAGCCAACAGCAGCAGCAACAAAGAAGTGTGTACTAAAATATTGAGGGAATTCTAATGAGAATTCTTGTTTAGTTCATTTTCATCCTTGTAGCTCTTGGGCCTTTCTTCCAAAAAGCTTTCAGGCAACTATTTGATGAGCATGTGAACTTCTTATTTAAAAGAAGTTTGGCTTTGCCATAATCTTGCTTCCAATTGCAATACATGAGTTCACCATACCTTGCATTTGTATGGTTTTGTAAAACCTTTTTGCTTTCGTAAAACCTTTTTGCTTTCACACACTATTTCTTTTTCTACATAATTCAGTCAGGTATGTGTGACTGTTAAGTAAAAGTGAGAACTGAGACCAGGGTCACTAAATGGTTGGTGGAAAAAAACCAAACCTAGAACCCAGGAACCTCAACTCTTCTTCCTTGGGTCTTCTTGTTGTTTGATTTTTTGGCAGCTGGCCAGCACAGGGATCTGAACCCTTGCCTTTGGTGGTATAACACCGTGCTCTAACCAGCTGAGCTGACTGGCCAGTCTACCCTTGGGTCTTCACACTCTATCCTGAGGCCTCTTGCAGCCTCCTGGGATTATCTCATCTATCCTAAGCATAGGTTTGAGCCTCCAGGACTTTATTTTCTTAACACCTGAGCACGGAATAATCAATGAAATCTGCTCAGAAGGAACCCGTAACTGCCTCCTAGTATATGCTTTTTTGTATGTTCTGTTCGCACAGATTCCATCTACCCAGGAGGAAAAGCCCCCACTTATTTTATTCCTTACTTCCTGTGCTGGGGAGCAGGATGGGAGCCCTACTGCTCACTGTCTTCACCTGTGTTAGAGCATTCATCCTGTTACAGCATGATTACCTGCCAGTGCCTTTCTCCTGCACTGGGCTGAGTACTTATCTGGGACAGGAGCTGTGTTGGTCCTCTTTGATACACCCAGCATTCAGCATAGAGCCTGGCACATAAGATAGGATCTCAGGAAATGTTTACCAAGGGCCAGAGGACCAGCTTTCTGTACCGAAGTCTTGTTTTCCTAAAGTGTGGTCTGACCAAGATCTGTTCTGCTGTTATAGATTTCTTTGGTAGAAAAATATATTGAAGAACAGCTGCTGGAGCGGATTCCTGGATTTAACATGGCAGCTTTCACAACTACATTACAGTGAGTTGAGCTTGACTTTTTTTTTTTTTTTAAAGATGACCGGTAAGGGGATCTCAACCCTTGGCTTGGTGTTGTCAACACCACGCTCAGCTAGTGAGCCAACCGGCCATCCCTATATAGGATCCGAACCCATGGCCTTGGTGTTATCAGCACCGCACTCTCCCGAGTGAGCCACGGGCTGGCCCGAGCTTGACTTTTTTTTTTTTTTTTAAAGATGACCGGTAAGGGGATCTCAACCCTTGGCTTGGTGTTGTCAACACCACGCTCAGCTAGTGAGCCAACCGGCCATCCCTATATAGGATCCGAACCCATGGCCTTGGTGTTATCAGCACCGCACTCTCCCGAGTGAGCCACGGGCTGGCCCGAGCTTGACTTTTTTGTTTTGTTTTGTTTTGTTTTCTCCCCTTCCTTCTTCCCTAGTCTGAAAAAAAGACCCTCCTTTCTTTTTTGCAGTGAAAGCAAGTGCTGGTTAGGTCCTGGGTGGAGCCCTCAAAACCTTTGAATGGAATCTTGAGACAGTCTGTTTCATCATTCATTCTCTCCTTTTGCAGGCATCATAAAGATGAAGTGGCTGGTGACATATTTGACATGTTGCTCACATTTACGGATTTTCTGGCTTTTAAAGAAATGTTTCTGGACTACAGAGCAGTAAGTTACCACTGCCTGTTTATTTAGCCACATTGAACCAATTAGAAATTTCCAAATAGAACTGATGAACACAAACTACCTCTCATGAACATAAACCACCTCCCATGCTTCCCCCATCATTCCCCCATAACACTGGCCAGTATCAGTCTAGCAGCTAGCAGGGTATCAGAAAGAGTGAGCTGCTTTCTCTACTCTAGGTGGGACCTATTCATGTTTTGGTTAAACAGGCCCTAGGTTCCATCTTATGGTCCCTAAATAATCAGAAGGACAAAACCCAAAAATCAGGTCTAATTCTGCCTTGCCTTTCTTATAGTGCAGGCTCTATATAAGAAAAATAAATGTTTCCCAGTGAAGAGAGGTGCATTTTTTGAGTGACCAGGACCAGTGTTGAGCAGAAATGCAAAATAAACACCTTCCCTTTCCTGTGTACTCCCTAGTGGTCCACACTCCCACCCTAAGCTCCTCTTTCCGCATTCAAGAGGCCAGAAATGACTTTTTCTATTCCTTGCTTCTTGAAGTTTTTCATTTTCTCTTGTAGGAAAAAGAAGGCCGGGGATTGGACTTAAGCAGTGGGTTAGTGGTGACTTCACTGTGCAAATCATCTTCTACACCAGCTTCCCAGAACAGCCTGCGTCACTAGGTCCTACATACTGTCACTGGCCCAGTAGGCTGGGAGAGCCCTCAGCTAAAGATGACAGAATACATCTTGGAAAGACTGACTCTTTTCTGCAGCTTCTCATTCATGTTAAGTATTGATGGGTCAAAACAAAATGGCCTGACCCTCTTTGACTGTTTGTCCTGAAACACTTTCTTGTATTTAGTAACCCTAGTAGTCCTTCCCAAGAGCTCAGTGAAAGGGTGCACGGACCCGAGCTGACAGTTCGCCAGAGAAGTTCCACTTTATTCAAGGACTGCACGTATATTTATAGGGAGCTGCGTTCTGGGTTTGGATAGTGGGTGAACGGGCGGTAGCTGATTGGACGGGGCTGGGCAGGAAGTGAGCCCTGACCTGTGACTGGTTGAGGTTTTGGCACCAGCGGGCTCGTTTACTGTGGAGAAGAACCCGGAAGGGCACCATATTGCTAGGGAGTGCCCCCCACTTGAGGGCCTACGGTATCCCTACATTCCTTACATTCCTCCCTTTTTCCTCTCTTGCGGGAATGGGTTGTCGTAATCTTCGAGCTACTTCCTGCTGGACGGGGGCGTAGTAGGGGAAGAAGAATTGGGAGATTGGGGATTTTGTAACAGGACCCAAAAGAGGGTAGAGAATAAGATAATTTTGAAGGGGGAAACCCAAGCCCACCTGCGCCAATCAGCTACCGCCCGTTCACCCCCTATCCAAACCCAGAACGCAGTTCCCTATAAATATACACGCAGTCCTTGAATAAAGTGGAACTTCTCTGGCGAACTATCAGCTCGGGTCCGTGCACCCTTTCACTCAGTTACCCTAGTACTCCTCTCCTCCCCAAGGAGACACCTCTCTCAAGTGCTTCTGAGTCAGACTCCTCTGGAGCAAGCACATGTCACGTGTTCCACCTGGGCCCCTTCCCTCAGCATCCATGTTGGTGTGTCAACAGTGTGGCACAACCCACTATCACAACCCTCTTTGCCCCAGCAGGCTTTGCATGAATCTTTTTATGCATTCATAGCTTTTTTACATGGGTCAGAGTTTGAGTCCTTCGGCCTCAGTGGGATTTTCGACTGTTTGGGAATATTTGTGTAGAGTGTTACTCAGGTTAGGGGCCCATCTTGAGATTTCTGAATCTCCTATGATCACAGCTTGTCTTGGCTGTAGGAATCAACTGAGAGAGATGTCCTTTACCTAAAGAAGCTATATGTGCAAATCAACTCCTAGTCTTACATTTACAGTCCTTGTATCACTATGTCTTCTGCTGGTCCTGATTTAGTCCCACTGTTTCTAGAAGTCTCTTTTAAGCATTATTTTTGAAAAAAATATTTTTTATAGATGAATACTCAGGCTAACCTAGTGGATATGATCTTGGAACTTCCATGATTACCCACTTAAAGATCAAAGTATTATATGCTGTGTGCTTTTTAGTGTTGTGAATGCAAAAATGCTTTCTATGTTGGTGTTCCCATTTTACTGGGCACCAGTGAATGTACGCTGTGTGCTAGAAATAGACTAACAGGTATCCTGTTCTTACAGCATGTTAAATGCATTGTGCACATTTGCTTAAAATCCTTTCTGTGTAAATGAGTTTGTTAGATTTTCTGATGGGGTAGGTAGGGACTCTGCAATTTCTTCTTGTCAAAGTCTCTTCTACCAAGATGGTGTGCCACTGGTCTAGCTTGGCATGAGTAGGAGGTAGTAAAGAGCTTTACTGTCATCTGCTTTAGTACGTTTGGTAGATTACCAGAAAACATGTATGTCACATCTCTAGAAAGAAGAAAAAACATAGTAGTTCAATTCCCAGTGTGCACCTTTGATTTGTTTTTTTAAAGTAAAAATAAGAATCTGTACTGACTTTTTACGTGGCCAATCTGGTTTTAAAGATGAGCTATAAGCTGTGTTTTTCTGTACAAATATGTCACTTACTAAGTACTTTTGTACCATGAGTAAAATGAAGTGTTTTGCAAGAACCATCACTCTAAACGAGTCGTGTCCCCTTTAATGTTGCTGCCACCATCAGATGACTATTGCTTTGCTCCTTTCAATCCAAAGGCGCTCTCAGAGGCAGCTTTTTCAAATGCCACCTCTGCTGGGCTTGCTTTCCCTTGCTCTTTTTATAAATGGGCCTCTCCATCATAGGCTAGGCACACTGGAAGCACTTGATAAGACCTGTTGGTCAGCCCGCCTAGTTGAGAAGAGTCACGTGGACAAGTCCAGTGATGAAAAGATGAAAAAAGAACAAGAAAGGCAAACTGTTCCTTTCAACCTTACTACTTAGAAAAAAGCAAGAAAGCCTATTGTCGCTTAATACTGTAAATAGGCTTCCTGATTTCTTTTAAAATAAACTAGAAATCTGTCTCTGTCCACACAGAAACTTAGATAGTGATGTCATGTGCCACCTTCAGTGGGGCTTAGGCCTGGCCTGGTGTGAGAAAGTCCAACAATCTGCCCCAGCCTCTGGAGACAGCTGCATTCTCCTATTGCTTAGGACTCCTCAACCATGGGAAGCAGTGTTCACCCAAACTACAGTCTAATTGACTAAGCATGTTAATGTCTCCCCTAAAATAGGCAGTTTTAGAGTGTCAGAAACCTGATAAAGGGGTGAGCTCTCTACCTAGGATTTTGTTTTCTCTTAAGCCTCAAAATGGGTTGCTCTTCCTTTAAACTCTTCTTATGGCTTAATCCTGGAGTAACTATAATTACTCAAACCCTGAGATACTTGAGAGTAGAGAGGGATGCTATTAATATCTACACCAGGACAGCAGGTGTAAACTGGGTCTGTCTGAGGCTAACTGGGATGGGACGTGGGCACCCGACTTAATCACCCATCCCTTAGTAATAGAGTAGCTCATCCACAACTGTTTGAATCTAGTTTAAAAGGCACCAAGGGGGCCTGGAAATGCCTTTGGCTTATTACTCAGAGAATGTTGCTCTGCGGTGTTAAAAAAAAATAAGCTCAGGAGGACTTGGCAGCTTTCCTCTCTGCTGTTTCTACCAGCTCTGCACATCTAGCATGGCCAGCACCTGGATTATGTCACCTCTGAGCTTCATAAACTTTCCAGGTAGGTGACATTATTGAAATCTTAAATTCAGTGAGATGACCTAATTTGCCTAAAGCAAGTGTGACTGAATAATTTATTGTTGAACTGGGGCACTTGTGAGAATAAAAGGTGTGCTATTAAATTTATCCCAGAACAAATGGCATAAACCAGGACTGTTCCAGACAAAGCAGGCAGGAAGTGTGGTCAGCCTACCTCAGGTCAGAGTGGGCTGGTTGTGCTAAGTGACTGCAGAACTTGAATTGCCCAATAATAGACCTTTTGGAAACTTTTCATAGTCTAACCTTTAACTTGCTAGAGTTTTCAAGTATCTGCAACAGTAATCCCCCAACATCTTTTCCAAATAAGTTCTTACACCTTTATTTTTGTAAAACAAACAAACGACAAAAGTCACCATCTACCTCATGACAACTTTCCAGGCAAGGTCTTGATTCCCTCCCTCCTTCAAGTCCCATGTGCCCAATCAACAGTGTCAGGGAGGCAGTTGGCATTGATGTTAGCTTTTCCCAAAGGGAGTGTTACAAATACGGGCTTGGAAAAGGGAATGAAACGTGGGTAGGTTTTCATCCTTGAGAAGTCGCTTAAATTTAAATAAGTGATTTGGTTTAAATAAGTGGCGTGTCTGAAATGCAGGGAAGGAAAACCATGCTGTTGGAAATCATAACTCTCTTCCAACAAATGTCTCACTACAAGTGACATGTTGGCTTAGGAGGAGGGGAGGGTCGGAATTGTGTTTTAAGGAAATCAGAATGCTTTCATGAGCTTGCTCAGCTCTCCTATAACAGAGACTAAGATAAATGCGTGTTGCTTGTTAGGCATATACAATTGCATGTCTGGAGTCTGTTAGTGCATTTAGTGCTGGTGAGAAGGGTGGGCCCCAGCCTCGGACATGGATAGCCCCATATCCCCCATCACCTTCCAATGAATAAGGGGGATGGGGAGGAGGTTTCGGCCGTTGGCCTCTTGCCAGCCCATAATGCATGGCCACATAGGTCTGTTTCCTTAGGAGTGTTGTGAGAGCTTGTGTCTGATGAGCAGAGGAGCAGGTGCAGTCGCTGCTGGGTTGACTCCACACAGTTCGGCCGTTGGCCTCTTGCCAGCCCATAATGCATGGCCACATAGGTCTGTTTCCTTAGGAGTGTTGAGAGAGCTTGTGTCTGATGAGCAGAGGAGCAGGTGCAGTCGCTGCTGGGTTGACTCCACACAGGGCTCCAGCCTCAGGCTTTTGCAGGGTGACCCTGCACGGTGACCCAGTGGCAACTTCAGCCCCAGGGTGGGCTGTGGCACAGGTGGTTTAGGCATAGCCGCCAGCCACCTGACTGGTGGCCGCATTGCTGCCTACTCCTCGCCAGGCCTGGAAGCTGAAGAAAGCGCTCACTCCATAGGCTATCATCACTAAACATGCAAAGAACTGAAAGAGAGGGGAAAAGGGTGCTGAGGCTGAGTCAGTCTGCATGTGGTGTTGGGAGCGAGAGGGTTTCAGTGACACAAGCAAGCACCAACTGGATCTCCTCAGATAGTATAACCTTGAGTGACGGCCCCCCGGTGAAAACCAGAACACGATGTTCTGGAAACCTCATCACCTCCTACCTGGCCATACTCAGCTGTTGGTTCTGGGATTGCCAACATTACATTCTACAAGGGGGAAACAGGTAAAACCCACAGACAAGGTATGTCAGATTGTGATAAGGATATCAAAACTGGGCAGGGGGGCTGGCCCGTGGCTCACTCGGGAGAGTGTGGTGCTGATAACACCAAGGCTATGGGTTCGGATCCTATATAGGGATGGCCATTTCGCTCACTGGCTGAGCATGGTGCTGACAACACCAAGCCAAGGGTTAAGATCCCCTTACCAGTCACCTTATAGAACAAAACAAAACTGGGCTGTGTGTGTTAAGAATGACTGATGGGTCGGAGCTACTTTAGACACCTAGCAGGGATTTAGTTTTAAAAAGGCAACATTTTTGAGATCTGAGAGCTACAGTAAAAAATAAAATAAAATAAAATAGTGATAGTAATAATTAATACAATAGAAAAATAAAAAGGCAATATTCAGGGGCTGGCAAGTTAGCTCAGTTGGTTAGAGTATGGCATTGTAACACCAAGGTCAAGGGTTCGGATCCCCATTCCAGCCAGCCACCAAAAAAAAAAAAAACCCCAAAAAACAATTAAAAAGCCACCCTAGGAATTTTGGGGAACCAGTTCATACCTCTACACTAGCACTTATGGCCATATTCAGAAGCTCCATGTCTCTGTCCCCATGACTGAATTTACTAGTTTCAAAACCACCTTCACTGGGAAGAGTAAGGAAACTCAAGTGCTAGTCTAGACCGTGGACTTCACCATGACTCCAGGCATGCTAATTAACCTCTCTGAGCCACAGTTTCCTTATCTATCAAAAGGGACTAGGGGTGGGGATGGAGGGGGTGGGGTGTCACAGGATCCTGGGAGCAAATGTTGTGTAGGGCCTTGTGCAGCGAGTGAAGCATGACAGGTGTGGAGGGAACTGCAGTTACTTTACTGGCCTGTTGACATGGGGCCCGAGTTTGGGCTTCATGGGAGAGCCCGTGAATCTCCCAAAATGGTTTAACCCAAAAGGTTTTTTGCATGTGTACTTTTCAAACGGGGAGGGTCCATAGTTTTTTGATAGATTGTCCAGGCAAGGCAGTATGTGACCTTAGACCAGTGTGGCACGCCTGATTTACAGCAAAGTTCAATAGTTCAAAAATTCAGCGGAACCCCAAATTTCCATTGGTCAGAACGAACCAGTCCCCAAGCATTTGGGTTCCTTGAGGTTTTACTGTTAGTTACGAAAGCCTGATAGCAGCCCGGCTCCTTTGTGAGACCCACTGAGAGTTTGGGTGACAACTACACAGGCGATGGCAGTGCCTGGCCTCAGACCAAGGGAGCAGTGTGCATTCAAGGGTATTGGCTCGGCCCCGTGTCCCCCCACAGACTGCCGAGGGAGCCCAAGAAGCATACTCACAGAGGCAGCCGCCCGCTGGTTATATGGCCGGGTGCCCTTCAGGGAGGTCAGGTCCACTGCTGCAGAGCAGGTGAAGAAGGCGGTGATGTAGAGAACGGTGGCACCAACATTAAAGATCATTAACTGGTGGGGGGCAGGGAGAAAAGGCTTAAGACTTGAGGAGACTAACATTTTCAGGAGCTATGGAACCTCCTAGTTCCTACTGCACACCCCTTTCATAGCAAAAGGATGGAGATGGAAACACATGGGTCTTTCCCATTAAAAGGGCCTCAAGGGGCTGGCTAGTTAGCTCACTTGGTAGTGTGTGATGCTGATAATACCAAGGTCAAGGGTTCGGATCCCCATACTGGCAAGCTACCAAGAAAAAAGCAAACAAACAAAAGGGCCTCAAGAGGCAGCAGTCCCCACCCCAGAGCCATCTGAGCAGGGAGCATAAACACACTAAGGCTGCATGTAGGGAGGGGAAAGGATGGGAAGGCCTAAAGTGATTGGGTCAGGGGCAGTGCCAGTCCCATGAGGAAAGAGGCCAATCCATAACCCATCTCTTCAACTGTACCAGCTAAAGAACTATGGGCCACTCCATGTGTGGCTCAGGGCCAAGCCCAGGCCCTTCCTGACACCACTGCAGGACTTGGCTCTGTGGCTGGTCCTAGGGGTGGGGCCTCACATCCCTCTCTGCCTCCAGTGGGAGAAATCTGTCTCCCCTTCTGGCCACATCCCAGGGTTAAGGCCCCAGGGCAAATACCAGGGTCAGGACTGTAGGAGGACCCAGATCCTCCTACCAGGATACTGAGCTAGACTGGCAGGAAGGGGACCTCAGCTAACAACATGACCACAGTCCTATATCCTAAATGGTTGGCCCCTGGAGCCAGTTAACAGTTTTCAGGGGTGGCCCTCAAATGTTGTTTGTCCAATAAATTCCTTAATTACTAACATTTTAAAATTAGATTTCATATGAAAATTTCATATTAAAAAATATTAACATATCAAGATTTGGCACCGAGGGGCCTGCATTCCCATTAGCAACACCTGGAGCTGAGCAGAGGCAGCTTCCTAGGGACAGGTGGCTGTTGGGTTCTTCAGAACCCCTCCTAACCCAATTCACATATCCTGCCTGGCCCTGTGGGGGTTTGTAGCCCACATCCCAGAAAATCCGAAATTGTCCATCCTAATCCAGCCTTTTTAGATGCAGTTAAGCCCTCCCTGCTCCATCCGTTAAAAGACCCAGGAGCACAAGAAACAGTGCTCTGCCATCGTGGCCTGCAGAAAGAAGCCTATAGTCCATCAACAGCTGTGGCTGGAGCCCCAGATCTGCCTGGAGATGCAGAGGCCTCCATCTCCAGAGACTTCTATCTTAGAGGCTCCTGGGACATGGGCAGGGGGCTGCACCTTGAGCCCGGAAATCAGACTGCCTCCCCAGTCCAGAATCTTCCCTCCAGGCCCAGCAGCCACCCTACAAACACTGCCTGGCCCTTGCCAGTGATGTCAAGATCTAACAAACCCATTCTGTCTTGAGGATGACTCACGTTTCCTCAGTTTAAAAAGTCATTGAATTCCAAACAATGCTGCCTAGTCCCAGCCTTGCTTGTCTTACAATCATGTGCCTCTCTTGCATCTCTGCTCACTGAAAGCCTCAGACCCCAGCTGCAGGGGTTTTCCGGGTCCTAGAAAAAAAAACCCCAGCAGCATTCTGTGTCTGGCAGGCGTACTTCCTATGTCCGCTCTTAGCCCTGTGTCCAGAGGAGATTGACCTGGGGCCAACCTGGGTCGCCCATCCTCTCCCAGGCTGCAGGGTCCTTGTGGAGACAGCTGGGCGCCTGAGCCTGTCCTACACACTCGAGGCCCCAGCCTGGGTGATTCCTGACAGCTCACCCCAGCCTCCTGTCTGTGCCCAGCCAGAAGCTGAAAAACCCATGCAACAGAAGCTCAAATTCTGACCACCCCCAAAAAGGAAAAATATTTTCAAGATTCCAAATGGCCTCTTGTGAATCCATCCAACAGCCCCCTCACTTTTCCTCCCTTCCTGGGACATCAAGCCTGTGTCCTCATGGCTCTCAGAAAAACCTGACATCTGAACCATGAATCCTCCACCTCCCCCACCCCGTCCAAGCCCAGCTCTGCAGGCCAGCTGAAGGTCAGCAAGGACTACAGCCAACCCAACCCCCACCCTGCTACTTCTCATTTAGGGAAGGTCATAGTGGTCCTGTCCATGGCCACTCCAGAGGCCAGATGATCAGCCTGGAGCTAACCCCCCATACCCCAGCACAGACTCACCACCAGCGGCCAGGGTACCATGTACAACTTCATGTGCAGCTGAAACAGGTAGAGGATGAAGAAGACGATTGTCACCAGCCAGAGGAACACAGCAACGAACATCACCCAGCCATAGGCTGGGTACAGGTGGTATGGGGTGTTGGCAATCAGGGCCCACACCAGTAGCCCCAGAACCTGGTGGACAAGACAGGGCCAGAGTCTCCCAGAGTCCTACAATGCTAGCCAGAGGCCACAGACCAGAGGCCCCCAGACCTTGGCCTCACTTCTCATTTAGTCAAGAAAAACTTATTTGGCTCCTGCTGTATACCACCATGCTGGGGCCCTTGCCTGATAATACTTACTCTTCTTTCAGGTTTCAGCTGAGATGGTATGTGGTCCAGGACTCTTTCCCCACTCTTCCAGTTTGGGTTCCAGAACCCTCTTCTGTGCTCACATGCCCCCCCCACCCCCCCAGAATGTGATTATGTTTCCTTCCCCAGACTGTGTGTTCCCCGTGGTCAGGAACATGGCTATCTCACTCAGAGCTGTGTCCTGACACCCCTTTCAGGACCTGGGCCCTACCAGTGGCTGCATAACAGCTGCTGAAAGGAAGATCAAGTCACTAGCATGTTCCAGAGGGATGGTCACAGTCACATAGTCCCAGAGGTTGGAAAAGAACAGCCTTTGTGTACTCCCTGCTGGGCCCAGCAAAGATCGTCACAGGGGCTTCTGGGTGACCTCCTACCTGAAGCCCCACAAAGCCCTCTCACCCACCTTCTCCTTACCCATGTTCCCTGACTCCCAATTGTCCTTCTGTACAGGTGTTACCATCTTATGGGTAAAACTAGGCCTCAGAGAAACCAAGGGATTTGCCTGTCATACTTTTCCCATGGGGCAAGATAGGTCCTAACATCCCAGGAGACTGTGTATAGTGGCTAACAGTATGGACTGCCTGGTTACCTCTTACCAGCTCCTCTTACCAGCTGTGTGGCCTTGGGCTAGCTCATAACCTCTCTGTGCTTTGGTCACCTCACTTGTAAAATGAGTATAATGACCTTATCTACCTCATAGAGCTACTTAAGGATCTCTCTAAGTCCATGTGTGTAGATGGGAGCAATGGAAGTATTTGCTTTTATTATTCCAGAAGAGGCTAAGTCCTAGCTGGACTGCACAAGCCCCAACCCTCTCAGCCACAGGGAATTCTACAGGGACTGTTTTACCAACTCATCTCGAGAGGCCATCTGGGGGAACTTATCAAGGTGTGGCCCAGCAAAGAGCCTGCATTGAGGCAGGGCCCAGGGAGCTCAGGGGAGGGCCACAAGTGGTACTTCACATGTGGCCATCCTGGTCCTCCCCAGCCCCTTCCCAAACCCCTTCCTTTCTGGCTGGGATCTTCTAGGTTGGGGTGCCCTCCCTTCCCCAAAAGGGCATTCTCTGGAATCCCTGGCCTATGAGGGACAGGGAGGTTCTACCATGGAGTTTTGGAGAAAGCCTCCATTGCCAATCAAGACACATGGAAAAAGTTGTCCCTCTTCTTCCCCTGGACAGTGTCCAGGCACATGGCACCAGCCCAAGGATGAGCCAACCATCAGTTGGGTCACAAAGAAGCAGTTCAGCAGCAAGACCTAATTCTGGTGGCTGGTCTTTGGAGACAAAGTCCCCCTAGCTGTTTACACCACCTGAGGGGCTGCTATAAGCTCCTAGAAGCTGGTGCTCACCTGAGGGCTCAGGACCCAGAGCACAGCTGAGCTGGGGCAACTGCCAGCACCACCCCCAACCCCCAACCGGAGCACCCCCACGAAGCACCAGAAGGGAATTTTTCTGCATGGATCCCCTTACACCTGCAGGGTCATGACAAGAATGGCCTGTAACTGAGCTGGCCCAGGAGTCCAGCAGCCCCTCTCAACTTCCTTTCTCCTCTTCCTCTCCACTCCCCGGGAAGGGAAGGGTGTGGCCCACTGGGGAACTGGTAGGTTGAGCCCTGGTTTTGGGAGTCAAGGGCTGGGCCTCAAGTCCTTTCTATGCTGTGTGACACTGGGCAAGACCTTCCTCTCTCTGGGCGGCTCCACCTGGACAACTCCAGTAAAGTCCTGTCACCCATACACTAGAACGCAGGAATTCCCTGTGAGGAATTCTGTGGTTTGTTCATTGCTGTATCTCCAGTGCCCAACCGTGCCCAGCACATAGTATATGCTCAATAAATATTTGTTTAGAAACTAACAAGCCCATTTCCTTATCCGTGAAATAGGGGTCAGAAACTGCTCTGCACAGGTGCTGTGCATAAAAATAGGAAGCAGGTGACAATCTCGGGACTGGTCCTGGCCTTGTCTCCCCAACCCCAAGAAGAGGCTCAGCCCAAGGTGGGAGGCCCAGAGGTGTCCTTTTCTCCAGGGCTCTGCACCTGTTCCTCCCACACTATGGATGAGTACCCAGAGGTCTCTGCCCCCATAGCACCCTGCCAGCCTCGGCTGCCCCGTCTGTGTGCTCCTCTAACCTCCACAGGCAGGCAGGCCGGTGCTTGGGGAGCCCACTTTACTGACAAGGAAGGGTAGATAGAGTAGCAGGGTCTTGCCTGCAGTCACACACCCAGCTGGGGCAAAGCCCTTAGTGAGCACCCAGGGCAGGATGTCTTAGAACAGTTTCCCTGCCCCCAACATCTTTTACCACCCATCCTTAGGACACCGTGCCTGAAACAGACACACCAGGGGAGGCCACAAACCCCCAGAGCTGGGTGAGGTCTCTGTGCTGAAGGAGAAGAAATACTCTTGAGGCAGCACACCCCAGCACTTTCTGCAGGTGAGAACTGGGCATATCAAGGACAAACAACAATTTTATTTAAAGCAGGTTCCTTACGGGACTCCACTGCCATTGTGTTGCTTGGTTCCACCTATCTGAGAGGATGTTAGAAGATGCAGTGAAATGAAAATCAAGAGCAGACCAATTCAGTACACCTATGAATGATGTGCACCATTACTCACAGACATCATCACAACAGCCACGTGACGCCCTCCTGCTGTATGCCAGGCCCAGGGAAGTGCCTCCCCTCCTCTATTTCATTGACTTACCCCTAAAACTCTCTCATGAGTCTGAACTCTTTGTTATCCCCATTTTCCAAACAAGCTCAGGAGGAGATGTGCCCATGGTCACCATCAGTAAAGGGCAGGGTAGGATTAGAACCCAGACCTTCCTTCCCTAAAACCCGCACTACTGACACTCATTTAGTGACAGGTAAAAAATGAGGGGGGGCCGGCCCGGTGGCGCACTGGATAAGTGCGCTGCTTGGGAAGCGCGGCAGCGCTCCCGCCCGAGGGTTCGGATCCCACGTACAGACCGGTTCCCGCTCACTGGCTGAGCGAGGCGCGGGAGCAACACCGAGGGTTGCAATCCCGTTGCCGGTCCCTGGTCCGGTACTGAGGGTTGCAATCCGTTGCCGGACACGGAAAAAGACAAAAAATAATAATAATAAAAAATAAAAAAATAAAAAAATAAAAAATGAGGGCACTTCGGCTGGCACTAAAGGCAAGGATGGGCTGGGCACCGAGGCTTCTCCCTGCCCTGCCCTTCCCTGTGTTCCAGCCCCACCCCTGGTTTCCAGATCAGCGACCGCAGCCTCTGGGAGATGACGCCGCTGGATAAGCAGTGAGAATTTCTAGTGTTCCTTCTGGCTGTGTTGTCTGGCTCTGTGCCCAGGAAGCCGCCTCAGTTTCTGCCCTAGAACAAGGAAGGTCTATCCCTCCATTTGAACCAGACAGACTGGTTTCTCACCCTCCTTGAGCCCCCAGCCTGGGCCCCCAGGGAGACCCCTGCTCAGAACAGGTCACCCTTACATTTGCTGACCCCTTGGATGGCCTGGGTGGCCAGCTCTGGAAGCTGCAAGACCCACTGGACCTCTCTCCTGCTGTGGACCCCCAGTCTAAGTGGAAGAAGGGACCAAGGGACCTGTCCTCTTATAGCAGGGTTTACCCCACTGCTCAGAGCAAGGAGGACAGAGGTAGGTAGCTGGAAGCAGGGATGGGGCAGAGGCCCAGACTGCCCAGAGCAGTCTTCCTGCAACCCAAACACCCTCTTGGAGCAGAGGTCTCTGTGTGTGCATATCTCTGCCTTCATCTGTTTAGCAGATATCTGTTGAGAACCCACTGTTGTGTGAGCTGCAACAGACAAGAAGCCCTGCTCTCATGGAGCTCCCATTCTACCAAGGAGAGCCAGATAAAAACCCCCAAGATAAGTAAATAGAAGTGGATCACAGGATAAGTGTGGTGGGAAAAAGTTGAGAAGGCGGATGAAGCGGTGGCAGCAGTGGGGTCATTGCTGCAATTTTAGATAAGGAGAGAGATCTCACTGGCAAGGTGACATGTGGGCAAAGACCCAGGGAGGGAGGGAAGGGAGGGGAAGGGAGGGAAAGGGAGACAGCCATGTGGGCATCAGGGGAAGAGCAGAACTCTGTGCCTTTACCTCTCTTGCCCCTGCATAGGTTTCTCTTGCCTGCTTCATCTGTCCCCCGTCTGTGACACACACACACACACACACACACACACACACACACACACACACACACAACCCACCAAACCTCTTCCTCCCCCTCCTTCCAAACTCTCTGAGGCCCTTGCAACACCTCCTCAGGCAGAGACTGCAGATAAGCAGAGAACTCTCTAGAAATCTCAAGGGTACAGGGCCTTTTCTCTCCAAAAACCTGAAGAATTTGAATTAGAAACTTTCTCTTTAAATAAGGACTGCAATGTCAAAAAGAACACTTTCATATGACCTTTCTATCGCCAAAGAGTTTCTAAACAATTGGGCAACAGAGAGATGTTTTTGTTAAAACCACTTACAGAACCAGAGAGGAGATTCATCACAAATGCTTGACCCACAGGCATTCCTAGCCCCTGCCTGCTGATTTCTCCAGAAGCTGCCAACAGTGACAGCCAGACAGGTCAGGTTTGTGCAGTGCCTGTGCCCTTCAGTGACTCTGGGGGAGATTTCTCCTCTTATCATTGTGGGTTGAATAGTGTTCCCCAAGATATGTTCAAGTCCCAACTTCCGGTACCTGTGAATAGGACCTTATTTGGAAATAGGGTCTTTGCAAATGTGCTCAAGTTAAAATGAGGTCATATTGGATTAGGGTGGGCTCTAATTCAATAACTGGTGTCCTTATAAGAGGGAGATATGGACACAGAGACCCACATGGGGAGAAGGAC